CTCTGCGGAGAGCTCGAATAACTCTTGCTGGAAAGGGTCGTAACTGCGGACCATCGAGGGATTGTTGAAACTGCATATCGGTGCCGCTTTTATGTTGAGTGGCAGTCAGCTTGATTAAGCTGGTAGTCATATGCCTCATGGATGACTGTTCGCCAGAACCCAACATATCAATGCACATTCAAATCCGGGACCGTCTATAACCCCAAAACCTTATATTCCGCGAGTCATCGCTTCAAAATCACCGAACACACGAGAAGAGAGACAAGAATGAGCTTATTTTGTGCCTAAGCACGACTGTCTTATGTTTTTTAGACGACATAGCATACGCCAATTGTAAACAAGCATAATTTCGGAGCGAGCATTTCATGTTTGCCAATGTGACGTGGAGTACGGATGTTAAAAGTCACGTAGAAAGAACCTAGTGCATCTGGCGAATTGCCATTTTGCCCATTTTCACTGGACAGCGAGACACTTAGGTCATGTAGGTCAAATAATCGACAGTCAAGTGGCCTAGCCTATGTGGTGGGAAGGTTCCGAGGAAGGACTAATAACCATGCCTGAAAATGATATTTCGCAATTTACTGGGCTGAGGGGGAACGTTTGAACTGTCATCTCACCATGAGCCTTCACAATGTGGCACACGAGACAGTGGATGGGTGAAACGACTTGTTCATTGACACTGTCTCCACCCCCTGCCTTGAAGGATACCGGTTGTTGGGTCTTTCTCGTGTAACCGTGCCGACTCAGAAGTATAACCTGTTGGGCTCTAGGGTGTTGGCGTAACCCCAAGGCGCATTAAAAAAGCATTACTTTTTTCACTCCTGACGAAAACGCGCACAGGTGTCCTTTGATCAGCCTCAGGCTTTCTGGTCTTAAGAGAATTTTGACCCACGGCCGGGGGAAAACCGTGGGAGACTGGGACCAGAAGTTTTCAGAACCGACCGTTCCCAAACTGTCCTTCCTCGAAGAAAGGCGGCCCCACTGCTTCCATGAACATCGACATGATGTTTGCTTGGGGAAAAACCTTACTGGCTCAACCTTCCTACTACAGCTTTGCTTTCGAGTTGCCTCTTGGCACAACTACTAGTAATGAAATGCTTCATTGCTCTTATTTTCACTGCTCCCCCTTGGTCTTCTTACCATGGCTGCGTCTTGCAGAACGAAGTTGCAGGCAGCATATCCCAAGGGATAATTTTACCGCTAAAGCCTCCTAACACGCCAAAGTAGCAGCTTTGTTTTTCAAAGCGACTCGAAACATGAAAAATGGGAGGCGTTTTCACGTATGAAACTAGGCCGTCATTACCGCTTTCCCCGCGCAACAGTTCGGGGTTTCTATGCGGTACGCTGTACGCTCAGTCACTATCAAATTTGACTGGCCCGTGTGATTAGCTTACATGCATCATTTAATCCGGATGGTCGTTGCCTTATTTCTTATGCAAACACTAGTGTGGCTATTATCCGG